CCCTAAACCCTAAACCTTCTAGGGCCGACTCATCCCAGGCCGAGCGAGGCCGAAGATCGACCTCAGGCTGACGTGACAGAGTTTCAGATGGCTGGGTGGCTGTTAAGGAACTTAATTTAAGCTGTATTCTAACCCCCCAACAATGGAGAATCAAATGGAAAAGAACATGGAACATGAAATTGAAACTGGTGTTATACGATATTTAATTGGGATGAGGGTTTAATGTGAGCTATAGTCTAAACTCCTTTAAGGGGGGTCTATGGGGGATTTTACAGGGGACTATTATGGGGTTATTAAGGGGGATACTAGGAGTTTAGACTATAGCTCATATTATCACCCCTAGGGAACTTAATCTAAGCTTTGGGGTCTAATGTAGGGTCTAGGGTTTAGGGTATATTATCTCCTCATAATGGAGAATCAAATGGAAACATGGAAAATGAAATGGAATCTGAGGAATATATTGGGATTCTAGGGGATAATAGGTTGCTGTTGCGCAACTTAAATTAAGTTACCGTATGAGCCATAAAGGGGATTACATAGGGTTTAGGGTTCTTCAATAGGGAACTATAGGACATATGAGCCAAAAAGGGAGTCATATAGGGTTTAGGGTTTAGAGTTTAGGGTTTAGGGTCTAATTTCCTTGAAAGGGGGCATATAGATAATATAGGGGATGCTCTACTCTAGGGGGTTAGGAAGGGGGATACCAGGTATTTAGAGCGAAGCTCACATCATAGGTACATACTAAGACATGGGCTTTCTTATAATGGCAGTGAAAAAGCAGTTCCTTAACAGTAATGCAGATGGACTTCAGCGGCCTGTGACCTATCTTACCAGGTCAGCGCAAAGGTCCTGCCATGAACTTGGCCTCTGTCTGGGGTTGTTCGTCCCCCTTTAGCAGATAGAATATGAGGTATATAAGGATCTTCTTATCATATTTGGGCAATTCCATATTCTATCTGCCTAAGGGGGACTCTGACCAAGCCGAATATATACCCTATAATCCCTATATAACCCCTATATAACCCTTGTATAATTCTTATAGAATCCCTATAAACCCCTGGAAAATTTCAGGGTCGGCTTTGCGAATCACGTCCGAGGCTGAGCAACTTCCCAGTCTCCTGGCTTGCGTTGGAGGCGGGAATGGAGGTAGTCTCCTGGATATGTTAGAATCTAAAACTTCTTCAAGGGTTTAGAGTTTAGGGGTT